GGGGCTGGCTGATCGGGACAGAGCGAGACAGGCCAGACACACCCTGGAGCCCTCTGGCAGGCCCTCCCCAGCTGGCCAACCTCCTGCATCCCTCCTCAGCCCCTATCGTGCACCAGTGGGGTCCCTCAGCCTGGCCTACGCCCTCCTGCAATTTGGGACCCCTTAGGGGATGTTGGAGAGCCATTATTGGCCAGATCCCGCAGGCCAGGTTGAAGGATACCACTAGTGCATGAACTCATGCACTGGGCCTCTAGTAGTTTTATAATGAAAAAAATCGTTTAAAAATAAATTTGTTTCAAATGAACTTTTCTGATATTGAATGAGACCAATATTTCTTATACAAAGGAAAGTTTCTTACTGAGTTTGAAAGAAAAGGTGGTTATTTCATTATCTTCAAAGTTAAATAGCAATAAATTAAAACATTACTGTCAAATGTGAAAGCCAACCAATTCAATCTTGGAGCAACATGTTTACCATTTCTCAGAAGTCCTCAGAGAAAACACTGATCAGGCCTCAATACTTCCAAATAGTGAATGAGAACCATCTGGCAAACGAAGTCCATTTTTAGTTGTTTGATTTTAGTTACAGGAGTAAGGGCCGTCAATTTTAAAATATCATTCTTTTTGTGATTATACATTCCCTCTCTCCCCCGAATGTCCACATGGGCCATTCATTATCTTATGTCGGATGACATCTTATGTCTCTGGCCTCTAGTCTATTCGTATTACATTATTGAAGTCGTTTACAAATTTCGGAGAGATTCAACAATTAAGGGCCTGGCAACTTATTTTGCAAAGCACCTGGCACAGAAACATAAATGGTTAAAATGTTTTCCTGCCATCAGCAACATGCTTTGAACAGGGAGTACCTGTCAAGACAGCTACTCAACTCACCTAAACCTCACCCTCGCACAGAGAAAATAAGGAAGAATTCAATAATAAAAATGCCGGTATGAAAGTTGCCTTAAGTGCTTTGAAAAGGGGGGGGGGGTCCCTCAAAATTCCCAGCGGGGTAGGGGAAAAAAATGAAACGCTTTTCTCTCTCGTTCTCCTGGGGACCTGGCCAGTTGGCTGAGCTGGACTATTCCGTGTAGGAAATGACCCCGCTGTGAACCCGATGCTGAGCAAGGGAAACGCCAGCGCATTATCGATCGGCCGTGGGAATTGGATCTCTCGAGGTCTTCCCTCCGCTATGGCTCCGCGGCAGGAACTGGGCGCCGAAATCCTTCCACTCCCGGGACAAACCACTGGGGTCTCCTCCCGGACCCTCTCCATTCATCCGGTCCCCGCCCGGTTGCACCTGCGAGGGTGAGCGCAGGTGAGCGCTTCTTTGAACCATCCGCCCCGACAGACGGACGACGGACGGACGGACGACCCGAAGCACAGCCACTGCAGTCAAACAGCCATCCGAAGGCGCTTTCAACCGACTGAGACGCGGCATTTAAGCGTAAATGGCTGCAGACAGATTCCCCGCCAAATCCATTCTTCTTGGAGATTGTAAAGCATCCGAAATGGTTGCACTGACACACACACACACACACACACACACACACACTCTTCTCCGGGGTTTTCTGAAGCCACATTTGGAGAAAGTGCTGACCCCCGCAGGCACACCAGCACACCCGTGACCTCAGTCAGCGGGGAAAGGATGAAGCGGGGCCCCACGTCCGGTGCAAGGCTCGTCCCCCAAAGTTTCAAGTGCACAGGACTCTCCTGCAACCGGAGCCTCCTGGAGGCGCAGAGAAGAAAGAAAGGGGGCGGGGAGCTGAGGGTTCTGCGGGGAGAAGCCGACCCGGCGCGTTCCACTCCAAGGACCGGATTTCCCTCTCCCCGTCTCCCGGCCCCCGCCCCT